ACATTTTTATAAGCTTGCAGTGCCGATCACACCCATAAAGCAAGACACAATGGCATCTTATAACCACGCTGGCATATTCCTGTAGAAACGCATCCTTGAAATACTTCTCTTATCACCCAACCCTTCTGTTCTAGCATTAACCTAATCATTACAACCTCCGTTTTGATGTATTGTACACATATAATAGCTAAACTTTTCAACTTTAAGTTGCAGAGTTCTTAGCAACGACCTACAAAGTATATTGCCATATACAGTGTCTTAGAAGAGCTAACCAGGAGGCCATATTTCTCCAACCTAACTGCCCAAACACCGACCAGCTGTACTCATCACTTCGGTTTTCTCGCATATGACGATGGTATCTGCACATGGTGCTGGCCTCTATTATTTCGGTTATAGTATCGAGGATGAGTACAAAGAGAAAGGGGCTTAACGCAGGTCCTTTGAGGTAACCATCGTATAAACATCTAATGAGTTGCACATAACCCTCCAGGATTCCTCTTTTGCGCATACATCACCATATCTTATTTCTGGGTAAACCAGGTCAATGAACACCATATCCTTCCTAATCTCCCAATATTTTTCCACCAGTATTTGTTAGACAAAAATTGGATCTATGGTCGAACATACCTGAACTTCACTCCATAGTCGCCTGACAATAGTTTTTCCCAAAATATTTAAATCATGGCTTTTCAACTTTACACTCCCCCCCCCCATAATTTGAGCATTCTTTGGAATCATACTTACCTATTTAGGTGAGTATGATGACACTGTCTCCAATCAGCTGGAATCTTGCCTTCCCATGATTTTGTTAAAAAAAGCATCAAGACTTCTACCCCTTCTATCCCTGCCCCCAACCATGCTTCAATAAGTAGTCCATATGCTCCATCAGGAGAGAACTGGAAGACTAAAGGCACCATGGGAGATTTTTAAAAGAGACTCCATAGTAGGGGAACTTCGCCTCCAAAACCTCCCTTTGCGAGGCTACGGCCTGCTTTTACCCGTCCTTCGGTTGGGAATTATATGATTTTATTTGATATTTACTTCACTTTGTTATAATTTAAAGTAATTCTTATCTTTTTAATATTTATGTACGATCCATTTAAAAGAATTACTCGTCCTTTGAGTTGAATGCATTATTCTTCGTTAATTTATGAACTTTTATGATTATTATATATATTATTTCATTCAGTTAAGGCCTACCACAAGTCATTTTTATTAGGATTAATTATGTATCATAATTCTTATTATTTCTTGTAATATATTTACTAAATCTTAATTGTTTTAATGTATATATTTTTTTTTATTTATATGGAAGGCTGAGAAAAAAAATAAGTTAACAAAAAATAAGATATTTATAAGTATTAATAAAAACTCAGGTATATTTTTATAATAAACGAAATATAATAATATAAAAATGTAAAATATTTTGTAAACTATTGATAATGCAATTGTCTACTGATAATGAGCTTGATCCAATAATAATATATCATTGCACAGGTTAACATTTAAAAGAATTTGCTGAAATTGTGCTTAAGGTTAAATTTCTACCAAGAATGGTGAACATTTGCTCAGATACTCAAGAATCTAACCTAATTTTATATCTTCTAATAATTTCCTTTCTACCGACAACATTAAAACGGCTTCTAAATATTTCTATTTTTAAATATTTTTAATTTGCTAAAGGTTCCTTCACAATTTACTTGTGAAAAAGATAAAGTGAGTAGATATTCATACACTATATATAAATTGGTAAATGTAGATGTATGCATATTATATGCATAATGTTTTATATACACATACCAAACATTGCTTGCATTTGGTTAATTCCATTGCAACTTTCTTTCATAGAATCAAGAAATCTTTCAATTTCTGACGTGTAATCACTATGATAAATCAAATTTTCCTACTCTTCTTCAAGCCAATGAGTAAATTGCTATATATTCTAGAGAATGAATTAGTTCTTCCTCGCAGTTTATCCCTATCTACCTTTGCTAACGAAGAGACTCTTTTCAAAGCCTCTTTAGTTATACCTTCCCTATTCAAAACTTCGAGGATGGAAATGCTGAACATCAGTTATTAAATGTTGATTTTTCGAAAATCTTTCTGTAAAACTAGTTACTATCTGATCAATGATATCGCGAAGTACTTCAATTCTGTAAATTTGAAGAGTCTTTTGGACGTTCATCTGAGCATTCCTCAAAACACATCTTGGCTTTTTTAGGCCCTGCCCTGATTTTTTCAAAATATATTTATTTTTGATTTTTATAGCTAATAATGACGATTTCAAATATTTGGTTTTACAATATACGGCCTGGACCGGATTTTTAAAAAAAACTTTTTTTAGGCCCGGCCCTGCATTTTTTTCATTAAACATCCAAAAAAACTGCTTTCTCGCGGGCCCACCATCTTGTTTTCTAATTTTTTAGAAGCCTTTTTAATTTTTTTGAACCAATAAGCGGGTTATTCACACTTGCATTCGTACAAACTTCCATTCTTTTATAATTCATTAAAAAATGTCGCAATCCTATTTAGTAATCCAAATAAATTTTTAACTTCGAGATTACCACATGTATCACAAACACATAATTTGAATTTGGCTATAGCACCAAATATATATACTGTCTGGCACTTGCTTAATTTCTTGCAAGCCAACAAATTCACTTCTCATGTTAGCCACACCATAAAAAGATTTTCCAATTATATTATTCAATTATAGCCCTTTTAGAGAAACAAAAACTTAATAAATCAAAAAATCCTTTTCCTGAAGAATTACTCACTTTAACTACTGCAAAAAGTTTTTCTGTAATTTCTCCATTATAAATTTATCGCAAACAAATTGTAGCTTTATCCTGACTACTGTGCATCTGTATGCTGAATCTTTTATTTCCTAATTGTTCTTTAATTCGCTTTCTAAGCGTATAGAGAATTGCATTACTAATTTTGACAATGGTCATCTTCGATAATAAGGTAATTAAGGAACCTCTTCCCTCGAATGTAACTTGCCTGAGAGTTTAAGTTTTCCCTTCCTATGTTTGCTTCTTTGAATAGCCTTATTAATTATGATCATTCAGGATTGGATCATAATTAGATAGGTGACTTATCAGTTCTAGGAAATTTCCACGATTTAAATTTATATCTTCAAAATTTGATAAGGTTTCATTACAATCAGAACCTCTATATGGCATATTTTGACGCCCTAATAGCTTAACTATTTCAAATATATATTTTATTATGAGTATTATTTGAAATCTGCTTTGTTTTCTCAGCTATTAGTTTATTATAAACTGAATCTTATATGCTGTTGTCACTGGATGCCTACGCTCATTTATAATTCTGGTATAATAAATAAGAATCCAAAATGATCTTTAAATAGCTTAAACTGCTGGAAACGTTCCTCCAACGATTTTCTCGCTTGTAATGCATTGAAAAATTTAATCTCATATTCTTTTTGATGATCATGCATAGGTGTCATCTCCTTGGTAAGAAAATTGTTTTTAAATTTTCCGTCTACGAATTAATGTTATTATAGTTCGTCCAGCTAGTGCTTTAGAATAATTTTTTTTTCAATGAACAAGTTTCTCCTGATAGAGATCAAATTTTTAAAGAACGCTTTTCAAGCAGACATCTTCTATCAAATTAACCACTGATGAAGTGTCTGAAGCTATAAATTCATTTAAATATAATCCGCCGTAGATTGGATGGTGTCAGGCCGATCTTTCTACGCGAGTTATTTAGATGGAGACCATTCTTGCTCTCTTATTCTATTACAGATATTGACGTATCTTTGTAACCTTATAGTTAATGGAAAGCGACTTCATCCTTTAGTTCTTCTATATTTTGGAGCCAGATTGATTGCTTTACCGAAAACAAATCAAGATATTGATCCTTTTACCATAGAAGGGTTTTAAGAAGGATTCTAAATTACATCCAAACATATCAAAAACTTCTTATTAGAATTGCAAACCAATTAGGGTTTGTCATAAAAGAGGGATATGAAACAGCCAGCCACGCAGCAAAAATTAGATCTATCTTCAGATTATGCATTTATCTAGCTCGACATAAAAAACCCATCCAATACATTAACTCGTAATTTCATTTGCAAACATTTTAGAAATATATCCAGTCCAGCGATTATTCCTAAACCATATTACTTATCAGCATAAAAATTAAAGCAAATGGATCCATTATATTTACTTTTATTCTACTTTTAAAATATGAAAAATAATTGCAATCTTGACCTTAACGTATGGTATATGATATCACATTTTCAGATCATTTGAAATAAGTAAAGCTTGAGATATTATTTTATGTTTACGATTCAATTTATCCTTAAATTATAAAAAATGTCAAATGTATTCAACTGCAAAATTTCTTTCCTTGCTATTAATTTTTTATCCATATGATTAAAGATAAAATTTTCGTTCTCAGATCACCAAAATTCAGCTATTTTATGACCTAAAATTGCTCTGATTTTAAAATTTGGTTAACAGAGTTTCCCATTCAAAAAAAAGGTCCGACTATAAAAGGAAAGGTCCTATCAAAGAAGAAAAATTATCAAATAAGTAAAAGCATCAAAATTAAAGAAAAGATACTGTCAAAAAAAAGTAAAGGATGGATATAAAAAGAGAAATAGTAAATCAAAAGAAAAGTTCCACACAAAAGGACGGTTCAATTAACAATAAAATGTCTTAATTAGAGAAATCATATATATATAGATATGACATATCAGCTTTATATTAATTTATATTCCCAGGTATGTTTTTTTTATTTAAATAAAACACAGTAATTTATTTTTAATTGGTAAATGGACTTTTATACCATCTTTCAAGGTTCATCCACGATATGCAAGGTCAGATTTCTTGCCAAGATTTGATGGTATTTATGCTATAATTGTATTTTGTGACTTTTAGAATTATTGTTGACATCATATTATTGCCTTCGAATATTATTAATTGTCTTTTCACATCTTTTCTCAATTATTTCTTCTTTACTTTGGTTAGATGCTCATTTTATAAAACGTAACAACCAAAGCGATTTCCGGTGCGTGGAGATGGAATTGGGAAAACCCTGGCGATTTCATCTGGATTATCACGGAGCCATGGGAACATTGCATTCTGCACTCTTCAACGAGTATATGAAGTTGGTTAAATGTAACAAAGGGAAAAATAGGTTAATTATTGCGTGCTTAATTAATAATTACATACCTTTTTAATTTTATAACTTTAATTGGTACATATATAAGAAAAATGAAACATTTTCATCCTGTAATTTTATTTTTCACTTAACATAAACCTTTAAAATAATATTTTATAAAAGCTCATATCAAACCTTCAAAATCTCCAAAACCTTCAACAAAAAATCCCAGCAGCATTGGGGTCATTTTTTTACGACGTTTTTGAATCTCTCGCACGACAAAACAAATTTTTTACCCGACGCTTATTATCGTAAACTAAACTACGACTGGCTGGCCAAATTTGGTGCCATTCTTTACAACAATGGAAATGAGTCAATTTTTCAAAAAGCCCTCCAAACTGTCCCCAAATCTTACTATAAGTTTTCCGCGAGTTAACGCTTAAATGGTTCTCTTTCCCAGATGAAATTCAAACTTTTGTAATATTCGGATAAAAAATCATTATAACGCAAACATCACGAATCATTAATAGAATATATTTCTAATATTCCATTTAAGAGGATTTTTTGATAATGAGATTCAGTGAAATTAATTAATCTCTCATTGAAGAATCACATTAGCAGAATCAATCGTTCTATCTCCTGGATTAAATTAATTATCAAATCATATCCTATAAAAATAATTAGGAAAATTATGTTTCATAGTGTTTTCCACAATACCAATATGCTAATCACAATATTTTCTAAAATTTATATTTATAATAATATTATCATCTGCTGTATTAATAAAGATGATGAGAAAGCGGTAAAAATTATCTATAGTACATGTTATTTTAGAGCCGATAATTTTATTAGCTATTTACAGTGTTAAAGGATCGAGGATCCTGGATTCTCCATGTTTTTGCAATTACCCGAATCGATTATTTTCTCTTAAAATAAGAAATGGGATCGAGATCATTTTGTTACTAAAGTTCCTTTTAAAAATTTATATTTTTTACAGATTATTTCTGAAAATATATTCTAGTATTAACCTACTCTCATATAACTTATCATGATTTAAAGGGTTTCCCATTCAAGAAGGAAAAGTTGCAATATAAAAAGAAATAATTCGATTAAAAAAGAAAAAGTGTCAATCAAAAAAGAAAAAGTTCCATTAGGAAAAAGTCCGAATAAAAAAAGAATATGTAAAACAAAAGGAAAAGGTCCAATCAAAATAGGAAAAGTCACAAAGGCTATGGTCTCATTTTAATATTGACTCAAAAAAGAAATTGTCAAACAAAAAAGGAAATATCCAAATTAAAAAGGAAAAGTGCCAGTCAAAAATGAAAAAATGACAATCAAAAAATAAAAAATTTTATGTTAAATTTTCTTAAATTTTTAGTTTTTTTATATTTTTTATTTTATTTCTAATTTTTTGCAATTAAATAATTTTTAATCTTTATCATTCTTATCTTTTCTCATTTTTTTTCCTTCTCTTTTTTTATCATTCATTTTTGTCTTTCAAAAATATTTTTTTTATTTTCCATGTTATTTCTTATATTATTTTTAACATTTCTTTTCCCTTTTTTTCTTCTCATATTTTTTTTTAAAAATTTCACTTAATTTTTATTTCTCTAGCAATCAAAATTTTTTTTATTAATATTTTTTGCATATCAAATCATTTCCTTACTAGCTAATAATTTTGAGGGGTAATTAGTTTGTGTATATGGTATTAAATATACTTTTTTAATATATCTTATAAAAATATTAAAATTTAGAAGAAAATGAGGTAAATTTATGAATCACACCTCATAAGATATTCATAATTTAAAGTATAATAACCCGTCTTTCTTGATGGGCAAAATGAAAAATATATAACTAAGAGTACCAGAGCTCCCGTTAGTCAGCATTGCTGACCCTGTCAAAAATGACGGGGAATGAGAATTTTTTCCTTACTCTTATGATAGTTGTTACCTGTTATTTTAATATCCAATTTTTATTCTTTATAACCCCCCCCCCCCCTTCAAGCCAGGTCCAATCCATTAAAACTAAGTGTAAGTGCCATGTTTTAGGTCAAAATATTTTTAAAGCTTTTACTTGATACCCATATCAATATTATTTTTTTAAATATAACTGATCACCTATGCCTAATATTCATTGGCGCACGCAGCGGGGGGGGGGCAGGGGCAAATATCCCCGCCCCCCCCCCCCCAAAGCCAAAAAATGCAGATGCCGGATATATTTTTCAAAAATATTATTGTTTATATTAATTTTTAATATTTATTCGTTTCTCATATTAAATATATATTTAATTACAATTATTATCACATTTATCTACTAAGTTATTTTATCAATTAATTTCGATTTCAAGTTTTCCGGCGTAATATTTATCTACCATTTTCAAATTTCTAGTCAAATAATAATTATTTCTGAAACTTCTTGTCCAACAGGGAAAAAAAAATTGCAACCTTGTCCAACGAGATAGAGTCTCTGCCATCAAGCAGTAACAGCTTTAAGAATTAGAAGAGCCAATTATTTGCTATTACTGAAATATCACAATGGCCTGAAAGAAATATTTCCTCAGAAGCAAGAAAATTATTGGATTCAATATTTATTCCAAATTTTATTTCTCATTAGAATGTATTATTTAATTATACAACTATTTTAAGTATTATTTTTCAAAAACATGACATTGACTTGATTAAGAAGATGAGAATAGCGGAGAGCATTTTATCAGAACTCAAGGAAATTAGGGCTAATTTGATGAAGAATTTTATATTTTATTGTTGAGTCAAAATCAGAGCTATACTTGTTTAATATTTGTCTCCCTCGACTTGTAGCAAGACAGGCTCATCGTTAAAACATTAATATAGGATCAGTAGAAGAGTATATCTTAAATACAGATACATTTATAACCCAAATAAATGATTTTTAATTCATCATGCAGCACTTACTAATCTGCAAATATTACTTCCACAAAAGCCTTCCCAAACTTTTTCAGATAGTGATAGAAAAAAAAATATTTGTTAGATTTTTATTATGAAGATGTTAAAGTATCTTATGATGCCTTACTAGCTGAAAAACTATGTTTATAAGATTAACTATGGTTGATATAGTCCCAAAAAATGCTATGGATGTTCTGCATTATTTCAAATACATTTTAGATTAAATTCCCAATGTATTAAAAGGGTTTATTAACTCTTCCCATTAGTAAACTAATGAGAGAACTTTCTCTTTTGAAGAATAACAGAGGCCTGCAGAAGTACCATTTGCAGGGCACGGCCCGGATTTTTTTTAAAGATTTTTTACGGCCCGGCCTGGGTTTTTTTAAAAAAATATTCCGGCCCGGTTCGGATTTTTGTATTTTAATAGCTTATAATAACGATTTCAAATATAGGCTGTTTTAAAAAATACAGCCCGGATTGGATGTTTTTTTAAAAATAATTCAGGCCCGGCTTGAGTGTTTTTTTAAAAAAATTTCGGGCCCGTCCCTGGTATATTTAAAAAATTAAAATACTGTCCTGCCCGGGAGCCGGGCCTGCAGGTCTCTGAAAAACATACCAAGAAGTACAACATCTGAAAGTAGATTGAAAGGTTTGGATTTTTTGAATATTCATAAGCATTTGACAACAAGCAAGGATGAGATAATTGAAAATTAGCTTAATCACAACAAAGATTGGATTTTACATTGAAATATATAACATACAAAATGCAATTATTCCTAAGAAACATTTTGTGTAAAGGCTCAAAAAATTCAAATTTCTATTTTTGGTCATTTAAGTGATTCTTTGCGTATAATTTTTTTATAATTCACATTAATTTAAAATTGTGTCTTAGAAATAGTTATTAGTCCTAATAAATTTATGCTTGATATTTTTAAAAAACAAAAATATTTCTTGAAAAATTTTATTACCTCCCACCTCCAGACCAAATTCCTGCGTACGCGCCTGCTAATATTTAATATTGAAAAAATTACCAAGCAAGGTCCAAGGTCATAATAATTTTGAAAAAATTACTACAACCAAAGATCATAATAATTTTGGTAGTTGAGAACTTGAATAAAATATGGGCCTTGCTTTTTTGATCAGACCGAGCCCAGGCCTGCAAAAAAAATTTGTTAATGTCTGATCCATAGTTAATAATAAAATAATTCCCAAGCTTCCAAACTGATAATAATTTGAAAAATTTTCCCCAAGCCCAGTCCAATATAATTTATAAAAATATTTTCCAAGCCCAGCCCTACCCATTATAATTTAAAAAAAAATTCTCAAACCTGGCAAACCGATAATAATTTTGAAATTTTATTCCCAAGCCTGGAGCTTTCAATTAAAAAAAATATATAATTAAATTACTTTATCAAAATATTCATATATAAGAAGAATTGTATTACAAAATTTAAGATAGAAGGCTGAGTTGAAAGAACGTGTGCCTATGTAACGAGTCTGGGGATCGAATCTCGTTGAAAAAAATATTTCCTTTTTTAAAAATAAATAATTTAACATTAAAGGTACAATCTCCTTCGATTTATTAACATTAAGATGATAGGAAAGTTGATAGAAAAAATAACATTAAGATTATACGAAAACGTTCATTTCTTGATTACGGAGATTATATATATTAGATTATTAAGATGTGTATATAGTAAAGAAAATTTTTATTAATCGTCAATAATTTACCCTCATCTAACATTTTGGAATTTAGGTCTTCATATTTCTAAAAGCATTTTTGATTTTCCTCTCTTTCCATGCTCAAAACGTATTAATTTCCGTTATTAGGATTTTGATATCTGACAGAATCCTTCCATTGAAACGACACATTTTTAATAGGATTAAGTTAAGATCTGTATTAGTGTTGTAAATGGCTAGATTTTAAAAACGCCTAATCTAGTATTATAGCCAAAAAATATTACGATAGCCTAAAAAATTATCTCATAGATGGCAGAGAATTAACAAAATTTCGGGGCTTTCATAATATTATTAGCTAAAATATTAAATTAAAATCGGCTAAATTGAGTCTTTTAACAACAGTAGGCTGTATGGTGGTAAATGTTTTATTGTATGCCCTCTCCTTTCTATCGATCTCTATATGATGAAATGGGACATTATCCATCACTAAAATCATATTACTTCAATATGATTTACAAAATGGCTAAAATGTATAGCGTTGCAGGGGCCATCAAATATCTCGAATCTGAACATTCCCACAAGAGCCACAATGAAAGTATAAGTTATTGTCTTTACCCCTTAGACATTTTTAGTAGCATTTTTATTTACCAGGTATAAAAAGAAAAGTGTCAATCTTAAAAGAAAAGTTTCAATCTAAAGGGAAAGGTCCGATGAAAGAAGGAAAATCCCAAAGGCTTAGGAAAAAGTTCAATCAAAAAAGGAAAAGTGTCAATCAATTAAATTTTTGACCTTTTTTATTTTCCTTCTTATTTTATTTCAAACTTTTTGCGAACACTATTTTTTTGTTAATTTTTCTCATTTTTTTTTCATCTTATTAAAATTTGTTAACACTCCAATAGGAATCTTTGAGAATAAATTTAAAAAAATTAATAATGGCGTAAATGAATTAAGTTGTTTAAAATTAAAATTTAATTGTTAATATTTGTATTTACGATTATATAAATATTTAATATATGATTAAACAATACACTGAACCCGATGGAACCAGGGTTCAAATAAAATTCCCTGGTTCTGTTCTGGGTTGTTACAATTCCTTATTTGAATTGTAATCTATTTGTCGAAGGCTTATGGGAGAGACATTAATAAACTTAATGGAACCAGGTATTAATAGAAAAGAATATATAAAACAATAAATAATTTTGTTAGTAAATCTTACAGCTCCTATTTTTCACTAAACCAAATTTTATATCTTGAATTTTGCACAACAACACTAAGTTTCTTTTTAAAATTATAAATCCAAACTACTGACCTTTATTTTAAAATTTATATACATTTTTTTAATATGCAAAAAAAATTACAAGTACATTAAAAATTCATAAAAAAATAAAAAAAATTACAAGTATTCATCAAAAATAATAAAAATTACAAGTATATTAAAGTTCATAAAAAAATAAATTTTTAGACTACATATTCAAATTAATACTTAACAATCGTCAATCACATATTCACAAACTAACTAATTATATAAAAATATAATTTATATTCAAATGATTTACGCGAATATAACAGGGGTTTTGAATTTTATAAACGGGGTTCAGGTTTAAATTTTTTCAATAACCAGGTTTTTCTTCTCCGAATACGGGTTCGGTTCGAATCCCTGACTAAGTTAGTGTTGAACGATCATTCTCATCATTAAAATTTATATTTTCGGACGATATTTTAGAAGATATTATGATAATTCACCTAAATAAAATTTTAAAATAGAAATAGAATATTATTTTTTAAATATTGTATAATATATATTATAACTATGATGATAAATTATGGCAATACTAATTAAAATAATATTTTTTTAAAAAATAATGTTTCTGTTATTTTAACCTATTTTTATAAGTCATTATTATTCTGGTCTCCAAACCCGAACCAATTTTTTTAGTAGTAGGATTCACAGCCCTGTTATATATTGACGAAATATATTCGATATTCTAGAAATATTGGTATTCACGATTTTTATAGCATTTCTTTAAGGCAAAATTTATTAGACACATTCAAAAATATTATAATAAAAATTTTAAATATAAAAAGACGCCATCTAGCGGATTGATTGTTATTTTTTATTTCTATAAATAAAAAAAAAGTTATGAGTAAGTTTAATTTTATAAAAATTATTGAAGCTAAAATATCTAATAGATAATTTTTAAACCAGTCTAAAGCTTATTTTATTCATAAAATCGAATTCTCGATTAATATTAGGAAAGTGAAAGCCCACTGGAATATAATTGAAAATATAATACATAAATAAACGTGTACTTATAGCCCTGTTATTTAGTAATAACTAGTTTATTATATAATTAGCCGAGCTTATTTAAATAATAAATTTTATTATGTGGTTAGCCGAGCGAAATTTTCGAACTTAGCGATATTTAGTAATAAGTTTTTTATTCTATGGTTAGCCGAATAATATTTAGTAATGAATGATTTGTTATGTGGTTAGCCGAGCTACATTTCTCAGCCGAGCGATATTTAGTAATAAATAATTTATTATATGGTTAGCCGAGCGATATTTCCTAGCCGAGCGCCTATGCCTATAAATAGGCTGAATTGTTTACTTTTTATATTTTTATTTAAAATTAAACTAATTTATCCTTGCGTATTACGGCGGAACGGAACACCTCTTCGTTTTATGAGAACCCTATTTTTGACGCCTTTACTAATTAAATTAATTGATAAATTTTAATTTTAAACAAAATTATGCAAAAGGGTATCAAATACCAGATCTAAAAAGATGGCGGAGAATGCATCAAAAGGGGATATTGAGGAAATCCCTACTATAGTGAATGACAAGTTTGGACAAGCTAAAAGCGATATCACCAATATCAATACTAAACTCGATGCTACTACTTCGCAAATCGCAGAATTAATCGCGCTTTTTAATTCCCAGAAAGAAACAGAAGACAAAAAGCTTAGTGGCCTATCTATTTCCCCCGCTCAGTTGGAGAAGAGAAATACACCTTTGGAGAACCCCTTTGCGTCCGGTAACATGCCATCCACCAGTAGGGACCTCAAAGCCTTTTTTCTCACCCCTGAACTTCCGGTTGACCTAACTAAAGATTCGACAGAATTCATTCTAACCGAGTAAGAAATCTGCACTTTAAACATCCAAGCTGAAAGCGACAAAGGCAAACTGATTAGAACAGCAAAACATTTCCTCAACGCTATTTGTTTAGCAGAGTCCATGCCTAACTTCAAAGGAAGGGATGTTTTCAAATTCCCTGCCCTAAAAACGTACGTTAAAGAGATGAGTATGACCTCGTCTCTGGAATACTTTAGAGCAGTTGCGTCCAAATCCCAAATATATGCCAAGTCCGTAACCTGGGGATGGGATAAAATCAAGTATGAGTCCCAAAACTCGATATGCAGATTCGTCGGAGGAGCCCCACCGGAGTCACAGCCCTTTCGAGCAACCCTTGCTTACGGAGGTGGAGGAAAGCAGGGGCCGGCAACCAGAGAGAGAGACCTAGAACCACCGACGACGATGACCCAGTGCTCTTCGCTGTCAATCCCAAGGGCGGAGTCAAACGGGGAACAAAGCTTAACCATAAATGACTTCATCCTCACCCTTTCCTTCTCAGCGCAACAACTGGGGATCTCAGAGGCCCTGGCGCCCTGGGCGAACACCTGATTTCGGCCCTTGATAAGGAGCACATCTGTCAATGGATCCGAGATGTTAAGCGTCAGATGTTCGAGCCCGCGGAAGGAGACGATATTGACACGGAAGATGCAGATACTTCATCAACAGATCTGCCCGTCACCGAGCAATTCGAACATGAAGGAGAGCCATTCTGGACCTCTCTCAGTCGCCCTTAAACCGCATTCCCTACAATCTCATTTTACCAGGAAGATAGCGCATAGAGGATTTTGCCCCAAGTTTGACAACCAAGCCATTGCTGATCATGGAGGCTACTTCAAAAATCGATTCATTTGGTTGGCGGCCAGATACCAACCAATAATTGACCAACTCTTAAATGCGGGAGTGATAGAGCAAACGGACACAGCCTTCTATTCGCAGTTATTCTTAATACCCAAACAGGACGGTACATTAAGGGTAATCTCCGATTTCTCCAACGTATCGAGGAATTTTATTGAATACCCTTTCCGTTTAAAGACCATTCCCATGATAGCCCCTATGTTAGCTAGCGCGAGGAAAGCCACAAAAATAGACCTCAAGTCAGCCTTCTACTCAATCCCCCTCACGCAATCAAGAAGAAGATTCTTCGGATTCGCTACATCGTCCAATAAATATCGGTATAAAACCCTGCCTATGGGAGCGGGTTTTTCTATGCCCTTCAGAACATTGTTCTCGATCTTTGCAGCAAATCAGTCAAGCAAGCCAATTATTCAGTATATTTGGACGACGTCATTATATTCCACGCCAACGAGAGACTAGTTTTTGAAGATACCATGGCATTTTTGGATATGTCTACAGCTTAGGGGCTCACCGTCAACCTTACCAAGTCCGTCACCATCCCAACGGGAAAAATTAGCTCGGTATAGACATGGACTTTGAGAATAAAACCGCCACGGTGGACCCAGAGAATAAGAAAAGATTACATTTCTGTCAGCTGATACTGTACAAGCACACCCTACAAGCTATGTCATTCGAAAAGGACATAGCGAGGTCCTCGGAATTCTAAATCATTATACATATTCCATCACGGGATCTCTAGAGTATTTGCACCTCATTATCATACAATGTTAGACACGGAGGATATGTCCCCAATCGACTACATTAGAGCCTACCCCAAAGAAGTAGCCGCGATCACTGCGTTAATGAAACCCTTCCCATTTACCTTTCCGATTAACACAATAATTCACGTCGACGCTTCAGATACCCACCTAGGAATAGGAGAGGGCTTTGAGGATAAGGCATCGTTTACCTTCGATGAGGCTAAACTCTCTCTAGGGATACCTGAGTATTCTGCTAGCCATATCAACCAAAAGGAGCTCCTCGCGATATGGGTAGGCTGCAAATACGGTATGAACAAATATGGTAACATGCCATCGATCGTCACGGATAGCCAAGTAGCGTATACGATAATTAAGAAAGGAGGATCCAGATCCCCGATCTGTGAAACACTACTGACGAAAATTATGCTCCCGATTGGTTTCGCTAAATATGTCCAATTATCAAGGAATCTGACATGGATTGCCTCCTAAGAAAACCAAGCGGATCAACCTAGCCGAGAATGGATTTTAGACGAACAAGCCCACAACGTACTTCATGACATCGATGTGGAAGGTGTACCCCCAATCGACCAAGGATTACCGTGGATTAGAGCGTTCATCCCCTTTAGAGCCGAGGAAGAAGCAACGTTACCCGACGTCGTGGACCTCAGCACTATCGGAGGAGATTTCGACACATCATTGTTCAACAAAACGTTAGACCTCATTCTAGAAGATGAAACGATAGCGTCGGAGGAGATGCTTGCCTACGAGGAACATACAACCCTCGAGGAACGCACCCCTCCCCCATCATAAAACCCCCCTTTTTGGTTTTACTCTACAAACCTATTAATCATTCGAATAAATATATCATTTTCGTTATATAAATATCAAAAATTATTGTTATAATTCTTGGACGATAGTCTAAATAAAGATCGATAGATCCGCTGGAAACGGCTTACCGTGATAACAGTAGCCTATCCGTTCCAGCATAGTTGCCAGGTAAAAACAAAGAGTAGTCTCACTCTTCCGCCTGAAGAAAAAAGGTCATATGCCTATAAATAGGCTGTGCAAGGATAATTGTTTACTTTTTATATTTTTATTTAAAATTTAACTAATTTATCCTTGCGTATTACGGCGGAACACCTCTTCGTTTTTCTCTGGATAACTTACCAGTTCGCATCACCTAAGAATACATATAGTCTTGATAATACATGATATAATAATCGTTATATTCATAATGTTATTATAACGCGGCCATTTGTAATTTTATATCTTTATATATATATACAATTAACACAATATATGGCATTAAAGAATGGCCTTGCATGGCGTCAATTTTAAAAATATATATTTAAAAATATATCAATCTAAAAATATATTTATAAAAGTAATATAACAAATTAAAAAATTTTATCAAAAAATTTATTAAAAAAATTAACATAAAAAATAAAACAAATTTAGCGATCAAAAGATATATCAAGAAAAATTTATGTAAAAAAAATATATAAAATATTATTTTAAAAATATATATTAAAAAAAATATCAATTAAAAAATATATTTAAAAATATAATATAACAAATTAAAATATATTTTTTGTAATAATGTTTAAAAAAAATCAATCAAAAAATATATTTTAAAAAAATATATATTCAAAAAAAATATATATTTAAAAAAATAATATAACAAATTAAAATATATTTAAAAAAATAATCAAATAAAATATATTATCTCACAAATTAAAATATATTATCTCAAAAAATATATTTAAAAAAAAAAATCAATCAAAATATATATTTAAAAAAAATATCAATCAAAAAATATATTTAAAAAAAATATCAATTAAAAAAAAATATCCAAAAATATATTTAAAAAAAATATCAATCAAAAAATATATTTATAAAAAATAAATTAAAAAAAAATATCAATCTAAAAATATATTAAAAAAATCATATCTCAAAAAAATAAAAATTTTTAGCTATCAAAAGATATATCAAGAAAAAATTACGTAAAAATTAAATATATAAAAAATCATTTTAAAAATATATAAAAAAAAATATCAATCAAAAAATATAATTTTTACAATACTATAGTATAATTTAATTGCTTATATTTAGGGCTGTGCCAATCCACATATTTTTCACCGATCGGATCCGATATTTCTTCAAAACCGATATTATACTGATACCGATTCGATATTTATATCGATTTTTCACCACCCCTTGAACCAAATGTAATTAAGAAATCAATTTTTTATGCAAAAAATCATCTACTATTAAGACTATAATTAAAAAAGCATATATTTGATAATATACATTTTATGTTGATATGAATTATAAAATTGTATTTAATATATAAAATTATATTAGATTTTTTTTAATAAATACGAGAGCCTCTAGATTTTCTGGCAATAAGCTTCTACGATATGGAATATCTATATCCCCTGCCGTATTGAAGGAAAACTCAGATGATTCCGCAGATAACGCATTTTGCAAAATTATCTTTGTCTTTTGTAAAATATTTTCATAATTCAGATACCATATTTAAAAAATTCTTTTATTTAGAGTAAAAATAATAAAATTGGCGTTATTATTAAAAAAGATTGAAAATAATTAAAATTTTAAGTGTTCCTTTCTATTTTTATAAAAAAAACTTTTAAAATACTATAAATCTATTTTAAAAAAGAATAAAATTTAGAGGGTGTTGTGCATTTGCATTGTTTAAAAAAAAATTATTTAGAAAATATTATAATACTGTAAAATAAATATCATCTTTTTACTTTGAAATGCCTTTTTAAGTTTGAACTGCTGGACATTGAGGTTGAAATATTTGTTTTGGGATATAATTTAAATTTAAAAAGTGTAGACTTCCATTAATTTTCTTTATTGGTTTAAAATATCATTCAAAGTGGGACCAGAGAAGGGTTAAATCATCTGAAGAAGTACTATAGACATAATATTCTTAAAATAAATTATAAGAATAATAATATCATTATTAACATTTATTTTGAATTTTGATTGAATATTAATTTCGACAGAAAATTTAACAACGAGAATTTAAAATAAAAATGAAAGAAGTGGTTGATATGAATTAAAACTCGGCTTAAATTGTTTATAAGCATTAAAAAATAAATAAAAATAATTTTATTATTTTATAAAAAATTAACAGCATTAAAATTGTACTTACTAGTTTTTTTATAAAAATTCCGCTGATAAATAAATTTTTATTCGATATTTTTTATATTATTTTTTTTAAAAAAATAAATTTTTATAAATAACGAAAAATAAAATTGGACACCATTTAATTTTACATTAAAAATAGCTTAATTTTTTTCTTCAATTATTTTTATGATTTTGGACGCAACCTAACGTAATAAAAATAATATTAATATTTTTAACGTTATAAAAATTATATTAATTTTTTTTAACCAAGTCAGATTAGTTTTTTTTAAACATATTGCACGAAAAATTTCAAGGTTGCTTCTATGGAAGCTTCGTCACTGTTTTATATAAAATATGAATTAGTATTTGTTAGTGCTGTGAAGTAATGTCAAAAAAGTAACGTCGTTACTAACGACGTTATTTTTTTGAAGAAAAGGAACATCATTCGTTACTGTTGTAGCTGTTGAAAAAAAGAAGAAATAAATTTAATTTATTACATCAAATGTCAGTTATTTTCTGACAGGGGAATTAAGTTTTCCTGGGGGATAGTGGGAAAACGTGATCATCACATGTTTGGTTTTTAAGGATTCGTTTGTTAGCTATTTTGGGGTGAAGATATTGGATTAATTGGAGAAGATGTCAGTTCGGAGGAACAAAGAATGGACCTGTGGGAATGAAGAACATGTGGAGCGGGATAATTATGATTTATAATATTTTTTTTTTAATGGATAGTAAAATATAATTATGAATAAATGTGTTATGAATAAATATTGATTTGTTTTATTGGTGCCGTGACCATGATGTACTTAGGGATTAATGTGGTTTTAAAGGTAAAACAAAATTTTTGTTGATATATATTTTATCTGATAAATTTTTGGAAGCGCAGTAGTACTAACCACGATACAGGGGGTCAGAAAAAGGTGAGATTAAGAGGTGAGTTTAAGGGTTTCTGTAATTTCATATTAAATATTTAACTTAAAAAGGTTAAGATAGAAAGTGTGTAATGAGTATTAGGATTGAAATTTGATTCATTTTGGCTCATTTAAGACAAGGTGGTATTAGATGTCTTCATTTTGGCCATTTAAGACAATAATATTTGTAGTATTATATGCCTAGATGTATATTTTACATCCAATTTTGACAAAAAGTTTTGTCTTATTACTTGGTACGTCTTAAGACTCATTGAATGGTGTTGTAGGTATTCCGTCATAGGAAGATAAAAGACCTCAAGATCAGCAGGACAGAAATGATTGATAAATATTTAAATATTTGAAATTTAGGAAAATATATATGGAAACAGACTTTTGTAATAAAGTGTGTATTGTATTATTATGCATTTTGGGTTTTTAAAGGGATGGACATGTGTGGGATCATTTATTATTAATTAATGTTAATATATTTTATTTGTAATTTAGTTTCAATTAAGGTTGATATGTTATTAAAGGATCTATTGAGGGTGAGTTAATGTTGTTATTTTGAAATAATTAACCATTTTTATGAAATAGGGTGTAATGTGAATTACACATATGATATATTTAATTATGAATGATAATTTAAAGGAATTGTAAGTCAGAATAATATCTATAATGTTAGATGTGGATAGTTATTTTGATTTAGTGTCTGCATTTAGTATATATATAAATTGGATAGGAATTTATATGATATATTAGATGATGTATAATATTTTTTTTTCCAAATTATGAAATCTTTATATTTAATATATTTTTTTTTTTAAATTATAAAATTTTATAAAAGTTATATTTGCAATTATTATATTATTTTTATGGTATGCAATGATGTGAAAGGAAAATATTTTTACAGATAAGGTCAGCCCGTGTTGATGGGTATGCCTTGAGGTGGGAATATTGTTTAGTTTGCATACTGGAGAAAGTTTTTTTTGTGTAAATTTTTTTTTGTAAATTTATGCAACATATGGCATTTTTTTTATCTTTGTAATAATTTTATAGTACATCACATTTTACTATATTTTATGAACATTTTTTTTAATGAAAAAGACTCAAATTATTTTATATTGTGAAGGTATATTAAAAATTCTCCCATTATATTCTCAATTTTTGTTACTTTGCATTCATTTTTGTGAATTTGTGCTAATTGTGATGGCAGAGTTAGGTAGAAATGGTATATTTTTCTTAGGATACTGAGTAATTCCTAGATGGAAAATATTGTATTTTCTACACATTATATATTTTTCCTCCTTATAAAATATTAAATTTATTTCTATACATATGTCTTGTAATTTTATTTAAAATCTTTGTTCGGCAAATTGTCACAATTATTTTTAATACCTAAAAATGGATTTTTATATCTATTTTAGGAGATATTTATAAAAATGTAGCTTTGATTTAGTTTACATGACAGAAGGACAATTACATATGTTGAAATTGCATTTCACACATAGACCATGTGTTCACATTACATTATTATATGTAAAATCATTATTTCTTAATTACCATGAATCATACCCAAATAATGTATATTACACATTCCCAAATGTCTTAAAATGAATGAATTATTATGTTTGGCTGATATTACATTGTCCTTATTAATGTTCCATAGATTATAAATGCAGACACCCCAATGTACATGTCATTATTGGTAATATGTGTTTTCGCGATTATATATTGAAAGGTATCGGCGATATTATATTATAAATCATCATAAGGGTAGACGATTCAATACAATTCAAAGTCGATACAATTCAAAGGGCGATTCGATACAACACCACCACAGAGAAAGGGACGCTGGGCTTGTGAAGGGTGGGCGTGTTGTAGCTGTTGAATAAAAGAAGAAATAAATTTAATTTATTACATCAAATGTCAGTTATTTTCTGACAGGGGAATTAAGTTTTCCTGGGGGATAGTGGGAAAACGTGATCATCACATGTTTGGTTTTTAAGGATTACTTTGTTAGCTATTTTGGAATGAAGATATTGGATTAATTGGAGAAGATGTCAGTTGGGAGGAACAAAGAATGGACCTGTGGGAATGAAGAACATGTGGAGCGGGATAATTATGATTTATAATATTTATATTTTTTTTAATGGATAGATAAATATAATTATGAATAAATGTGTTATGAATAAATATTGATTTGCTT